AGGTACCATTTGGAAGTTGTGGGAGTCCTGATACTGGATCTCTTGGAAGACCAGTTTCAAGATCAATTGGCAAACCTGTTACTTCATCTGTTGTAATGTTCAATACTTCAGTGAGGATTTCATCACCTGCAACTGATCCTGGAATTGGTAATTTAGTTGCAGGATCGATAATTTCACCTGTAGATGGATCATATGGCAAACCAGTAACAGTATCAACTGGCTTTCCTGTAATCTCATCAGTTTGTTGTGGAGTATTGAATGATGGATAGTTGAGAGAGCCTGGAAGTGAACCTGGAATAACTTTTCCTGTTTCTGGGTTAATAATGTTACCAGTAGTATTACTGTACTGAGTATTTGTTACTGGATCTTTATTGATAGAATTAGTTGGTGGAACAATTAATCCATCCTTACCCTTATCGGCTTGATCTTTAGCTTCTTCATCAGGTACAACACCTCCACCATTGACTGGAATTCCTGGTTTTGGTTTTGTAGTACCTGAAGTTGATCCTGAGACAGTGCTGTTGGTTTCTGGGTTAACTAATTGGTTATTACCATCTATTGGCAAGTTAGTTGATGGATCAAACAAATTACCATTTTCATCTTCAATAGGTGGTAAGCCAGGTTTTCCACTAACAATACCAGCAGTAGAATTGTTAATTGGCTTTCCTGTTGATGGATCAACTAATTCACCTGTAGTTGAGTTAAATGGAATATCTGAGACTGGATCCTTTGGTAAACCTGTTATTTCATCAACTGGTAAACCATAAACATTATCAGTCTTAATACCATTTGAAACTGCATATTTGTATGCACCAGCAAATGAAGAATCCATGGTATTATTATTTGTTGGGTTAATCAAATGACCAGTTGGTGGATTGAAAGGCAGACCTGTGGTTGGATCGATTGGTTTACCAGTTACACTGTCAGTTTGTGTTGGTGTCTTCATTATTGGGTTCAAGTCACCAGCAATTGAACCTGGGATTGGTCTCTTTGATACTTGACCAATAAGTCTACCTGACTCAATATCATACATCAATTCAGAAATAGAATCAATCTTCTGATCCTTTTCTGGAATTGATTCTGGTACGCTTGGAGGAATAGATAACTTGAATTTATCAGCATTTGCTGCTGCTACTTCTGGAGGAATAATACCACCATCTTCAATCTCAGGGGAGAATGGAGTTTGCTCTGATGGACCTAAAGAACCTGGAATCATCACTCCTGTTGCTGGGTTCAACAATCCACCAAATTCTCCAACAACCATATTTGTTGCTGGGTCGATTGGAGCTGATTTCTGAGATAATAATGACTCACTTGCAGAAATTCCTGAAACAATACCTGCAATTGTTCCATTCATTATCTCATCTGATATTGGATCAAACAATTCACCAGTTTCTGGATTGAACGGAATCAAACTGACTGGATCCAATGGGTAACCAGTGAGTGTATCAATTGGTAAACCGTAGGTTTCATCAGTATCAACTGTCAAATTCTTAGCAGCAAGATATGATACCGATAAACCAGACATTGTTTGATTGGTATATGGATGTACTAAATTACCTGATTTTGGATCAAATGGAAGACCAACCATTGGATCAATTGGTAAACCAGTACTCTTGTGAGTTTGAACTGGGAATAAATTGCTTGTATCAGCTATTTGTCCTGCTTGAGAACCTGGAATTGGTTCATCATTAGAGTCTAATAATAAACCACTGTTATAGTCATAAATCATTCTTGTGTACTTATCCAACATCTTTTCAATTGGGATTGGTGTAATTTCAATGTCACCGATATCAGGTAATGGTGTCGTTGTTGTTGTCATTTCGTCTCTCTTGGTAGTAGTAGTTGTCGTTGGCACTGTTGTTGTTGTTGTTGTTGTTGCTTTTGTTGTTGTTGTTGTAACTATTGGCTTTAATGTTGTTGTTGTTGTGGCTATTGGTGGCTTACCTGGAACCTTTGTTGTTGTTGTTGTTGTTGGTTTTTGAGTTGTTGTTGTAATGATTGGATTAAGAGTTGTTGTGGTTGTTGTTGCCTTAGTAGTGGTAGTAGTAGTTGGTTTGCTTGGACTTCCAGTTGTAGTAGTTGTTGGTTGTCCTGGGGCTCCAGTTGTAGTAGTTGTTGGTTTTGCGGTAGTCGTTGTTACGAAATCAGCTGAAGTTTGATATCCAGAGTGAATTGCACCATACTTCGCAGTACAAGTGTCGCAATAAACTTCATTGAATAACTCAGAAGGTTGTATTGGAGCACTTATTAGAGAGACATCCTTAGAACCGTATGGGCTTACGTGAATTTTTCCATCGCCGCTCACACCAACTATTATTGAACAGCTGTTATGGCCAGCTACTGGAGGAATTGTGAAATCCAAACTTCTATCTGGGAACTCGAGTTTACCTGCACCTTTTCTGCATCTTACTGAAATAGTGTTCCCTACATCTTTAACCTTAAATCTGAAGCGGACATGCGTGTCATCATTTGGAATCATTGTAAATGCCATTCCATTTTCAATACGTCCATCTTTTCCGATAACACCAACATAAGTTGCTCCTTTTGCCTCACATTCGCCATTCTTTTCCAACCAACACCATTCATCAGGTTTAATTACACTCTCAGTTTCAGAAGTAGTAGTTGTTGTTGTGGCAGTGGTAGTTGTTGTTGGTTTCTTGGTTGTAGTAGTAGTAGTAGTTGTTGTTGTTGTTGTTGGTTTCTTGGTAGTTGTGGTTGTGGTTGTGGTTGTGGTTGTGGTTGTAGTAGTAGTAGTAGTTGTTGTTGTTGTGGTAGTAGTAGTAGTTGTTGTTGTTGTGGTAGTAGTAGTAGTAGTTGTTGGTTTCTTGGTAGTTGTAGTTGTGGTTGTGGTTGTCGTGGTTGTTGTTGTTGTCGTGGTTGTAGTAGTAGTTGTTGTTGTTGTTGTTGTTGTTGTAGTTGTTGTTGTTGGTTTCTTGGTAGTTGTGGTTGTGGTTGTGGTTGTTGTGGTTGTAGTTGTTGTGGTTGTAGTTGTGGTTGTAGTTGTTGTGGTTGTTGTTGTTGTGGTTGTAGTTGTTGTGGTTGTAGTTGTGGTTGTAGTTGTTGTGGTTGTAGTAGTAGTAGTAGTAGTAGTAGTAGTAGTAGTAGTAGTAGTCGTTGTTGTTGTTGTTGTTGTTGTTGTTGTTGTTGTTGTTGTTGTTGTTGTTGTTGTTGTAGTTGTAGTAGTTGTAGTAGTTGTAGTTGTAGTTGTTGTTGTTGTTGTTGTTGTTGTTGTTGTTGTTGTTGTAGTAGTTGTTGTTGTTGTTGTTGTGGTTGTGGTTGTGGTTGTGGTTGTGGTTGTGGTTGTGGTAGTAGTAGTAGTAGTAGTAGTAGTAGTAGTAGTAGTAGTAGTAGTTGTTGTTGTTGTTGTGGTAGTAGTAGTAGTTGTTGTTGTTGTTGTTGTTGTTGGTTTCTTGGTAGTTGTGGTTGTGGTTGTAGTTGTCGTGGTTGTAGTTGTTGTGGTTGTAGTAGTAGTAGTAGTTGTTGTTGTTGTTGTCGTAGTAGTAGTTGTTGTTGTCGTAGTAGTAGTGGTAGTAGTTGTAGTAGTTGTTGTTGTTGTCGTTGTTGTTGTTGTTGTCGTAGTAGTAGTAGTAGTAGTTGTTGTTGTTGTTGTTGTGTGTTTCACTCCAACACATTTAGTGTATGGAATGTATACCTTACTGCCCATATCAAATATTTGACCTTGTTCAAAAGAGTTCTCAGAATTACAAGGAGCATTAATCTTAGGATCTACCAACAAGAAGTTGGTGTTTGCACTAGGCTCAGTGGTCTTAGTCTCATTAGAACGATAAACACCTGCATAAGTGTTTGGAATAGTTTTACCAGTGGACCTACTGACTAAATTTCCAGTGACAGGGTTGAATGGACAATTAGAGTATGGATCAGTTGGGAGACCAGTGATAGAATCAACTCTAAACCCGGTGGATGAATCAATGCTATAACCTTGTTTCCATCCACAAGATCTTGAACCAGAAATAGTAGCTTGTTTGTTTGGATCCTTCAGTTCACCACTTGTGATACTTACCGGCCAATTCATTGATGTGTCCGTTGTAAATCCAGTAGTAGATGTAAAGTTCAGTTCAGATACAATGCAAGATTCGCTTCTAATACCTGCAATTGAACCTTCCAAAATAGAATTCGTGTTTGGATCGTACATTACGCCAGTGCTATTATCAAAAAGCATTAAAGAAACTGGGTCAACCATTCTTCTTGTATTTGGTTCGATTGGAACTCCGCTAACATCCAACTCAAATGGTGCACTGTAAGCACTAGATGTTGTTGATGCATCAGCATGTTTACCAGTATATGGACTGAATTTCTTGCCAGTAGAATCAATAAGCAAGAAAGTTGTTGGGTCTAAATCTGAAGGGAGAGATGGGATTACAAATTTTTCATTTGAAACTGCACCAGATGATTCAATTCTCATCTCTAATCGGTTACTCGATTTAAATGCAAGTGAAAAAAGTGGGTTCATAATAACAGCCACAAGGGCTATTGCCGATGAGCTCACTTTAATGTTCACCATGATTTTTGACTTCACCTAGAATTTATAATTTTTGGCTCTGATAATTGTCAATAGCAAGCCACCCTTTGTTTATCACTAGAGTAGGCTAGCTCAAACCCTGTGCAAAAGAACTTCCTAAGCTGAAACTTATGATGTAGCGTTAATATATTACAAAAAAACTACTTGCCAACAAGAGTTATCACAAGTGCATTCAAAATGCACAATATGCTTCTCTGTTCTATCCAGGATTTTCTAATGTATGTACTTTTTATTCACAGAGTATACACTCGCGTACAGCAACGTATAATTATCCTTTGCATGTATTAGGGTGCAATACGGGCTAGACTTGAAAGATACGTCATTTTTTACATAAGAAATCCAAATACATGCACCTCACACATTTAGGCGGGAAATGGCAAAAACGTTATTATTGCGTGATTGGCTTTTGCCGCCTTAATTAATTAATTAATTAATTTAGACAGGTGAGAGACAGTTAGCACTAGTAGTCTAGTGGTAGGATGACGCGTTCCCATTGCGTCGGCCCGGTTTCGATTACCGGCTAGTGCAGTTTTTGGGGGGGGATGTGGTATAGATCTAAGTGTTGCGGTTCTTACATGTCTTATATTTTTGTGTTCGATAGAGTTTAATAGAAATAAAATAAATAATATGAATAATTGTATCTCTCTAAGAGAATAGATATTATGTTTAATTACGAAATGCAAGAGATTAACTATTAAATTGAACTAAAGTATATGTTTTTTCGAACCTACTATGAAAAGCTTGATAATCTATAATTTTGTAGGTGCCCTTGAAGGTAGTCCATCCTTAGGTCTTTTGTTAACCCAAGGTGGTTCAATATTGGGATGGTTTGAGACGTATGGAGGATCGTTGGTTGATGGAATTTGTCCAGTAGGAAGTGGAGAATGTCCCAATACTTCTTCATTATTAAGAGACCTCCATTCTGGGGGAAACCTCAATAAAGACTGCGCTTCTTTTAGGTCATGTTCTAAAAGTTGCATTACAGTCTGTTGCTCCTCTATTTGTTTTTCAAGCTTTCTGCATGCTAGAAGCATAACAATAACGTCATTTTGGTCTTGAGGCTCAATGTTAGAAAAATAGGCAGCCATTTCGGTGAGACTACTATATGGTCTTCTCCTTGCTGCAGAAAGTCCACCTACAAATGGGCTCTTTGAAAACTTTGCTCCATTACAGACTCCCTGTTTTGCTAAATATCTTCTATTCCTTGAATTACCATTAAATGCTGAAATTTCGCTCGGAAATTCGACCATATCAGAGTATCTTGGATGTCCTATTCCTTGTGGCAATGTATTAGATGCAGCTAATTCATCGTCATCATCAAGGTTCGAATCAGTGCTTTCTAGGTCTCTCAATCCTCTAATTGTAGCAATTTTTTTTTCTATTCCATGCCACTTAGTTCCACTAACAGTATTATCATTTTGGTTTGACTTCCTTTCGCCTGATTTTTTGTTCTTGTCGTTGGAACTTTCTTTGGGAGTTTGGTCTATTTGAGCTTCACTAAGGTCGCTCGATTCCTTGTTACTGCTATTGCTATTAGTATCTTTTAATTCTGCTTCTTTTTTATGCTTTCTAGAATGATGTTTTCTACAGCAATGTCTACTACTTCTACCACCATTCTGGCATGCAGTACTACAAATTGCTGCTATAGTTGTAACCATTTGCCACATTGCAGGATCCAAACCTTGAAAACTTGGAGACCCAGATCTATTAAACATATCAGGAATCCCATTAAAACCAACTCCCAACTGAGGAAACATCCCATTCTGAAAGTTATTAGTTGGAATATTTCCCGAATTTGTATTTGCAGAATTAATTGAACTTTTTAGCTGACTTGTTTCTTTGCTTGCAGGAACATTCGAATTTGATGGAGCAGGATTTTGTGACTTGTTTATAGCCAAATTAGGTTTCTGATTCTGCTCCTTGGAAGGAGTCAAGTTTGCTTTTGATTCGGAAATTTTCTGCAAAGAGGGTTCTTTGCTCTGGCATTCCAACCTTTGTTCTGTCTTCAATTCAGGTGGTGAAGATGAACCTGAAACTGGAGCTTGAAACTTAGTAGTTGGGCCCATCTTTACCTCACTTTTTGGTGGTGTTGATATATTATTTACTGATTTTGTTGGGATTGCTTTTTCAGGTGGAGCAGTGCTTTTTGGTTGTTCTATCTTTTTTGCTACAATCTTTGGAGGTCCCAGTTTAGTAGGTGATCCATCCTTATTAGCTAAACCTATCTTAGGAGCATCAATGCCAACCTTCTTCACAACATCGGGTTTTATGCTTGTCAGCTTTGTAGAAACCTGTGACTTTGATTCAACATCCCCTGTCTTTGCTACCTGAACTTTCAATCCTGGAGGAGGTTTCAATTGTGCTGGCTCACCTGGTTTTGAACTAATCTTCACTAAATTTGTTCCTGGCAATTTTTTAAGTCCTGGTAAATCCTTTGGTGACTTTCCAATCATCGCATTTTTTGTAATTAAAGGTGCTGGCTTTAGCCCTGCTTTAATACCTTCTGACATTTTTTAGTAATATAATCTCCCTTTAGGCACTTATTTAAAAGACTTATATCATATTTTTTTAAAGTGGTATTCTGCCCATTTATCTTTCATCATCTATTTACAATCATATTTTGAAGAAACACACATGCTAGCTTCCCGTGCCCGTCTTGTCTATTGTCATTTTTCTAATTAATAATTACAAAAAATATTCGAAAATAAAATATAATTTATATAAAACTAAAATACCTTATACTCCTAAAGAATACTGAACCTCCTAAAATAATGTTCATTCTACTTATCAAATAATCTAGTATGCGGCTCCAGTATGTACATAAGAAGCTCTTTTAGGTCCAGTAGTTGTAAGTAAAAACATTGCTATTAAGAACGTGTAAACTACGGAAAGGAGCGACCCAAAATATAAGGCTATAATTGATATTTTGTACTTTGGACTTGATTTTGGAGCTCTTGACATTATCAAAAAAGTTATGCAACCAATCGGTGGGAAAAGAAATGATAAAAAAATTGAAATAAGTGGAAGTCTTATTCCCTTTTCATCCCAGATTGACCCAACTAGCTTCTCACTGTTCAAACCTGTTGATTTTCTTATCAGATTTTCAAAAATACTCATATTTAGATAATTATTATTAAAATGAGGATCTTGTTTAATGTTTTTTTTTTTTTTTTTATAGATCTCAAATGCATGTATAGGTTGAATAGGATATCAGCGCTAGATACGAAAATTCATCAAACAATAAATAAATAATTAATAAATCGATTTTATCCAAACAAATTCCACTTCACTTTATGATTATTGAGAAATTCAACATTTTCCAATAGCTATTACACACTTAAAGCTGAAAATATTTTATTTACCTTTAAGAATTAATTACGCGCAAATTATTGCAATTTTTTCCGATTACCTAATTTAACCGCATAATTTTGGAGACGTATTGAGACATTATTTAATATAGGTATTGAAAATTGCGGTACCCAAATTTGGAAGATCGTGTAAAGGTAAAATTTGTGGATTTTCTAGTGTAACATTAGATTTTCTGAAGTACTAGTCAGAGAATAGCCAGATTTGTCAACCCTACGGAAGGTTTTGATTGTTTGTTTGATTAGTTAATATGCCAATCCAAATTACAGACTTGAGAGATTTTATCAATACTTCTAGACGTGCTGATGCCAGATCAGTAACTGTTGTTAAGGTCAAGAAAGATAACCACATTACAACAAAGTTCAAGATTAGATGCAGTCGTTATTTGTATACATTGGTTATGAAGGATTTAGAGAAGGCAAAGAAGTTGGAGTCATCATTACCTCCAACACTAAAGAAGACTACAATTTCTCGCTCGGTAAAGAAGTAAATTATCTTCTATTAAGCATAAAATAGAAATTCTATATCTGTTTATTTCAAATAGAGTAGTTTATTAATGAGATGGCGTTTTATCACGTTGAATTTTTTTTTCTATAAAGGCTTTTCGTTTATAGCGTGACCCTCTATTTCTATAATATTATGTGTAATTAGTGGCTGATTGTGTTGTCTTTTTGATCTCTCAAGCTACTTCACCATAGGATCTCAAGACTTTGGGCTTCTTTGCTTTACCTACAAGTCGATTTTCAAGAAAAGAATCAATTATTAACATTTTGCCTGTGCCGCTTTGCTGTCTCTATTAAGATTATTCCCCATTTTGTTATGTCATTCCAAACTCTTACAATTACCAAGATAATGCACTAAACATGGAAAAGGTTGAAGGTTTATATCAGGAACTACAGCTTTTGGTAAAGTCTGAGCAGTACGAGGCAGCATCACATATTTGTGACAAAATTAGGCTTATAGGATGTATGGATAGCGAAGTTTTGAGGACAAAGATATACTGCTTGATTCAGAGAAAGATGTGGAACCAGGCACTTTTTCTTATCAAATCTCTTGAAAAAGATGAAATTGAGTTACCTTTTGAAAAGTCATATTGTCTATATAGAACTAACAACTATAAAGATGCTTTGGAGACTTTAGAAACTCTTGGTGATCCAACGAAAGCTTTAAGTAAATTGGAAAACCGTGCAATCACCCATTTGAAGATCCAGATTTTGTATAGATTAGGTCAATTTGAGGAGTGCGAAAGGCTTTATTCTATTATGGAGCCTATCATTGCTAAAGAAAACAACTCTGTAGAACTGGAAATGCTTCAAGTTAACCAATTAGCAGTATTTTCCTCAATTCGCAATATTAACAAAAATATTGAAGATTTCGACATTCCTGACTACTTAACAAATTCAATCGAGTACTGGTTTAATCGTTGTTGTTTATATTTATCCAACAATGATATTGACAACGCAATGACATCTTTAGAGATGTCAGAGTCACTCTATAACTCATTATTGGAAAATGATGACTCAGAAGATCAACAATCTCCAGATGTTTCTGATGAGTGTTCTTTGGCTCTCATGAGAGCCTATATTATGCAACAAATAGGCCAAAATGAAGAAGCAAAATTGCTTTACGAAGACTCTTTTAAAAAGTTTGGACTTGATGGAGTAAAATTAGAACCTTCAATGGTCCATTTGGGTGTAGTTGCCTATAACAACTACTTTATACTTTCAAAAAATGATAATCCTCATAGTTATATTGATGGTCTTAAACGTCTCTCTATTACTTCGAAGGATCAAATTGAACACAAAATGACGGTTAACCAAAACTTTATTATCTCTCTAAATAAAGCTCTATTATTATATAATGAAAGTGGATTTAAGCAATATATTAAACAAGCAGAGAAGTTTTCTGTAGACAAATTAAAACTGGATTTATTCAAAATAGGGTTATTCCTTTTACAAGGAAAGACTAAAAAGGCAGTACAATATATAAATTCTGTATATAGCAAAAACCAAGATAATATTGAATTTTCCATTTCGGTTCTTAAGATATTGCTCAAATTAAAAATGATCAATAATGCCTTCAAAATTCTGGATTCAAATATTGATCAATATATATGTAACTTTGGACAGTGGACAATTTCTCCAGAATTATTTAACGAGCTT